GCCGGTGAGAGGAGACGTGCAGTATGTGTGTACATTCCTTATTGATTTCTCTGTGTTGAATTTCATGTTTGCCTATTTAGGAATAAACATGTGTGAGCGGACAATTTACAGATATATCTACCGAGTTATTGACAAGTAGGAGCCAGGGAGCAATCCTAACGTAAGCTAAGCTTGTCTCAAAATGGAGCACCGATTTAGATTTAGACTTTCTGGAACACAAATTGAACGTGAAGACACTAAATTAAGTTATGCCGTTGCCTCTCACATTTTAATGAGTTCAGCTGAGGTAACCACCCAAGTACATAGGTTTCTGCTTCCTGTCTTGTTGCCTGTCTCTTATCGTTCCTATAATGGCACTTTCAGCCTTTGTTAAAATGTAACAGCACCAGAAGCATTTGTAATCAGTGATTACACTCTCTCGGGTCAGGATGGCTCACTTCATTTGAAGTTAGATGTTCCGGAGGACTAATGCAGCTTTGTGAACGCCTTCGTTGCAGTCTGATAACAGAGCGGTGAGAGTCAGAAACTCCATCTACTGAGAACTTTTATTGGTTCCTTTTTTAACAGAGTCCATTCAGCCTCTCTCTAAGGGATGTTGGGGCGTAGGAGTACATTTGGCTCTGTGCTCATACTTGTATTGCAAAGCAGAGATCTCTCCGCTGTAAGAGAACAAAGGGTCTTCTACACTAAGCTTACACGGCTGTGGGCCCCGACCAAAATAAAGAGGAATAAAGTCTCTGTATTTTCTTCTAAATACAGAATCTGCATGGGGACAACTCACGTGTTGTACTGTCGGGGTGCTTCTGAATATTGATGAAGTATGATGGGACTTGCAGAAATGAACATTTCCTGTTAATCAGGAGCCGAAGAATTGTGGAGGATGGCATTTAACGGCTTCGTGGAGTGCCGTCTTGCATTAAGGGCTAATAACCTTCCTTAGACTCAGCTCAGCGCCCCTCTATCCTCCCCCCGCCTACATCACCGGCACAGTTGTATTTATTATGTGCAGCAAGGCCACGGTGATGAGACGATCAATATTTCTGGGATGATGAGGGAGAACTCATGCAATCTCTCTCTTTCTGTTCCTCCCTTGGCAGTGCTTCAGCAGGTAGAGAGATCAGAGCCGAGAGGACCTCTGAGATGCTGTTGGAGGGGAGACTGATGAAGTCCTCTGTGCTGTGTGTCCTCTAAACACACACACTCCATCACACTGTCCTATGTCCTTGCTACGTCCTGATTAAAAATGTTGACCTGATGTATTTTATTTCAACAAGAATTAGTGTTATCGCACTTATTCTGCTGCTGTGTTTGCAGATCTAAACATATCTGGCCTCAGTCGTACTGGAAATGGAAAATCTTGTATCCATGGTGAATAATAAGGTGCCCTTTTGGAAACTTTTCTTGGGAAGACATATTTCTCTGTTAAGGGAATCGGTGTGGATTATAAATTGTATTAATTTCAATTCAAGTTGAACATTATTTTAAGAGGACATTTAGACAAAGGTCATGCAACACCTTCTTCCGTGTAATTTTTTTACAAGTCTTTCCCACCATTTTCTCTCTCTTCGATGTCTAACTATTTTCTATTATTTTATCCATAGGTAGTTGTTATTAGTTGTAGTTTCTGAGAATTCATGTTTTCCTCATAATTTCCTTCAGACAACAGGTCTCAAAACTACAATACTAGGCAGCGGTTGCCATGGCGAAGAGCCCAGTCACAATCACAAGTTCAATACTATGCTATACCTGTGAATAGAAACCACCAGAAGTGCAATTTTAACCTCCAACCCCAGAGCCCCCACCTCCTTGAAAAAGAAAAAAGGTATTACCTAATTTCAGTCAGACAACTCCCGTGTTTCTTTAACATGTTTATTAGAAGCAGCATATAGTTGAGTTTGGCGTCTAGGCTCTGGCCTCATCACTCCACAGATATACATAGCACGATGAGTGATGATTAAATAACTAACCCCGCCGAGCCTAAAGGTGGAAGCTGGGGTGGAAGCTGGTGGTGGGGCAGGCAAGCAGCAGCGACGTGGAAGTAGCTGCAGCAAGCAAAGCATAGAGAAATATGTGGCAGGTTAAATAGAGCGGCATATCAAGGAGACTCTGTTTGGTTGGTTGTAGAGTGGCAAGGGGCGTTATGTATGAACGCAGCATAAGTGCTCGAGTTGACTGCCTGAACTAGCTCGCAGGCTTCGCCCCATTCATGTTTTCAATTCAATTCAAGGCTTTATTGTCATTTGCACATTAGCTACAGTGTAGATATGGCAATGAAAAACTTAGGTCACAGGCTCCTCCAACAGAGCGACATGTTTTACACTTGTACCTGTGCATGCAGGCATTCTGAAATGTACCCGCGGTATTCTGTCAGGAGATGCAGTTACTTAAATCAACAAATATTAGAAGAGCTGTGGGTAAAGAACAGGTTGTTAGCCGCTAGGCGTATTTATGCAGTCAAAAATGGCGTATTTATGCAGTCAAAAATGGCGTATTTATGCAGTCAAAAATGCCTTAAGCTTAAACCAACAGTCGGGATTAACCCCTCCCCCTCCAGGTAGGCCCATTCGGGCCCCCCTGTCATCGGTTTTCTAAACCCCGTAAACTTCCTCTTCACCCCCTGTTAGTCGAATCCCTAACGTAATATAATCTAGTGAACTGATGTTTGTTGCTCGAATTCACCTCGGTAGCCATAATTAACATCTCTCCAAGTTTGAATGTATCCAGGGATGTACTCAAGACCTTTTATCTAAGGACCAGATATTTCCTAAGGATGTTCTTAATTTTATTTATTGATCATTTAAGCTGGAGCATTTCATGCTGATCCGCGCTATAGAAGAGCTCTAAATGTGAGTAAAGTGATATTAGCTGTGGGAGAAATTCCAGCACCAGGGGCGCCTGAAAAAGCTTCTCTCACTTTGCAACTCTTTAATGTTCAGTTTTAGTTGGAACTGTTTTGGAAAGGTGTTTATTCAACTTAATGGTCATTTTTTAGGCTGTAGTTTGCGGGGCTATTTCATTTTATAGCATTATACTGAAAGGTGTTTCCAATATTTTGTCACTGATATACTGTAAATACGTTTTATTGATGGAAGTGGATTTAATATAAATGGGATGGAATACATTTTATAAAAAGCTCTGTATAAGGCGATACAATTAAAAAGCACATCATAATACAGCCTTTTAAATGACCATAACATTTGATGAACACTTTTATAGAATAGTTTTTTAACAAAAGCTGAATCGTATAACTTATGTATGTGGACGTTTTTGTTATGTAATGTAATTAAATGGTTAATATATATGGCAGAGTCGTCTAATAGGTTTTCAGCTCCTGCTAGAAAGGAAGCCGTTAAGCAGTGAGGGACTTTGTTGGCTTGACTCTTCTACATGTTGACACCTTTGCAAGCCCTTAGCCCCCAGCAATGCATGCCTTTTAGTCCCCAGATTGGATATGGATGGCTTTTCATGTATTATCACTTAGCAGGTGCTCACTGCACCAGAGCCGAATTGTCCACCACAAACATGCAAGTGGTGTGTTCTCTGAGAGTGGGTTTACCTGACATGTTTACAAAATGTACTGTATCGGTGGACTTTCACAACTTCCACAGGCAGGCTCTCCATAGATCCATGTCTGCCGCAAATAGGGAAAGCTGCCTAGCGATAACAGCACCTCCAGGAACGTCAGGATTGCTTTCTCTCAGTGGTTAGTGGCCTTCCAACGGCTTGTGATACATTATAAATCATTTACAGTCATTTTGGAATGCAATATCCTCCTCTAAATGCTGGCTTTTCTTCTCCATTGTTATTAGAATGAATACTGCAGTAGGCGCACAAGGCTGAGGGGGACCCTTTAGCCACAGAAATTGAAAATTGATCAGACAGTGTGTGAAGGTGTTGTCCCTGGTTCACCATGGGACTCTTTATTAGCATTTTAAGCACTGTCATTGGAGTTAGCTGTGCAGCCTGTAGCCTCATCCTCCTCTGGTTCTTCTCCTGTTCATCCCAAAAAGAGATCTCTTGTAACTGCAAACAGGGAAGATTACATTAAAATTGTATCTTGTTCATATCTCTACCGAAGGGAGGTGTAGGGAAAAGACTGCATGACATTAAGCCGGGCATGACATTTTTATCATGCTATTATGTTTCTGTGTATGACTCCTGCTCTTGGGTTTTAGTTATGTTTTCCTAGTAAGTGAAACTAATCTTGAAGTAAATGTTCACAAGTTCCTTGTTGTCTGTTGTCCATACATTTTTTTACATTTTTAGGCTTTGCAGGCTAGAATCAGTGTTTACTTTCAGACAGGCCTTTAAAATATCTCACCACTCAGTTTTTTTTGGTTGCAAAATTCCTTCTTTTTTTACTATTACTTATTGTACTGCATCTAAACAGAGGAACACTGTTTGGTAAAAGTTAAACTCAAAAGGATGTAACTCTAGATGATACCCATTTGATTTGACTCCGACTGCAGAAGCCTCATATCAGCTTCACATAAGCTTTTCAATTAATTTTTCTGCAATTTCCCCCCCTATCACTTCCATTGTAAGCATTATGAGAGATGGTATTTTAAAGCTTAGCATAAACAGTAGGAATGATAACATCAATCAAAACCTCTTTTAGTGTTCTTACGGACATCTGGCATTTTTTTTAAAGCCAGATGTAAAGAAAGATTGTCCATCTATCCGTACATTTTGGCCTTTGAGTAAAGAATAATTACCCACTGATAGTTGATGCCTTTCAAATTGTACTTGTCCTAGTGGAATTATTACGCACATCTTGAGAAGTTGCCCAGCAGTTAATTGCAATATCAAGCTAAAGGCAGGTTCTTGAATTTGTGGATTGATGATAACAGAAAGAGCTCTGTCATGTTTATGTGAGCTGTTTTATGTCATGCCAGAAAGGGACTCCACAAGTCAATCAAAATGAGTGGATAAAATGGGATTGAACCGGTGGGCTGTCAGGGAGATGTCATTAATTGTCTTGTCCTCTTCTCTTGCAGCACAGGATAGAAGATAGGAGAGAACGGTGAATGAGGACTTCCGTGCGGAGAGGCATCTGTGACCGTTTCTCCTCGTCTGTAAGTCGGCGGGCTCCAGTATCGCAGCTGATGACTGTCCCTCAGGTGGCTGGACTGCAGGGCTGAGCGGGACATTTTTTTTTTCGCTGAGGGGGGTGCCCCGGCTTGTATGTTGGTCACTTGCAGTTGCACTCGCTCACAAGGACCATGTGGTTCTCTCCAAGGAGAAGTCGTCTCCCCTCGCAGAACTGGCACAGTGCCCACGGTTGCACCAATGTGTCCTTGTGGGTGTTGAGCTTTTGTTGGTGTTTTGTGGCTGTGAGAGGTCAGAACTACCACCCAACTGTAAACACGCAGTATGGGAAACTCAGAGGGGTAAGGGTGCCCCTGCCCAGTGAGATTCTGGGGCCCGTGGACCAGTATCTGGGGGTCCCATACGCCGCGTCCCCAGTGGGAGAAAAGCGCTTCATGCCCCCGGAGCCCCCTTCCTCCTGGTCAGGGATCAAGAACGCCACTCACTTTGCTCCAGTCTGCCCACAAAATATTCACAACGCTGTGCCAGAGATCATGATGCCTGTATGGTTCACCTTCAACCTTGATATAGTCACGACTTACATACAGGATCAACATGAAGATTGTCTTTATCTCAACATCTATGTTCCAACTGAGGATGGTGAGTGCGTGGAGTAAACAGAGCCCAACTTTTCCTCCTACTCTTCTGTCTCTGCCTCCTTCTCGCTCTGTCTTTCTTCTTTAATTTTGTGTCACCTCTGTGTTTTGCGCTGAGCATGACCTGTTGTCTGGCGCATGCCGTGTCCGTGTCCATCATCTCAACCTCCCATCTTGACTTGGTCATTTATTTAGTCTTTTCATCAACTCTCCCCTTCCATGCCACTGTTAGAGGTTCCTCTTTTGATGACTTAATGACTTATTAATATGACTGAATAAAAAAAAGAAAGAAATCTAATCATACAAGGAACAGATTGGAAATACTTGGTGCACCTTCCTACCCTCACTGTCTTGACTGTTCTGGGGATCTTAGCCATTAGTAATTTGTAGCCTGCCTCATAAGTGAATGATCTACTACTGTAGGGTTGGTGAAATATTCTGTCTGGTACACGAGAGGCCTGTGGCATCAGCCTGACCTATGTAAGACCCTTTACTCTCCTTGCTTTATCCAGTTTGTCCTTCCACAAACCTCAAAGCAGGTTTTGTGCAAAAGGCAAACATAGATTGGGCTCCACCTTGACTAAGATTTCTAGATATTGACTCTTTTTAATGGCCCCCATTATTTTGCCACTTTAAGGAGACACACACAGGAAGAAAATGGGCTTGAAATGTTAAGTGCTCTGAGAATCAAATGGGCAATGTCAAATAACACTTTCACTTATCAGATTACAATGCAAACTGAAAAACGTTGGAAATCTAGCCCCTCTGCCTGCTGTGTGGCTGTAATGGGTCTTAAATAGAAGTGCATGTGAATATGGGCTTCCTGTGTCCCAGGATGCAGCAAATTCATTCTACCATTTTGGAATATTTCTGCAGCAACACCCCAGTTACTTTCTCAACAGGTCCTCTGTTGTTCTTGTTGTTAATGATGACTGGGATGGGGGAGGGAAGAGGGTGAAGGTGGGGGGTCTGACTCAGTCTGAGTTGTTGCATGTCACATGCAATCTTTTCCAGAGTTCTCTGTTATTTTGTAGTTTTTCCATTCATTTTACAGTCAAAAGAATATCCAAGGAATGTGCCAGGAAACCCAACAAGAAAATGTGTAGAAAAGGAGGTATGTAAAAAAAAAAAGAAAGCCAACACGGAACGAAAGAAAGGAATTGAAAGAGTGAAAAGGGGAGGAGTGATGGGTGCATCCTTCCAAAGCTGCCAATATCACCACCTAGCAACTCCCAAATCAAAGTGCTAATTGAGATGAACGTGGGACTCGTGACTCAGATCAACCTTGACATGAGTGTAAGAGATAAGTGAAAGTGTTGCGTGTGTGTGTGTGTGTGTGTGTGTGTGTGTGTGTGTGTGTGTGTGTGTGTGTGTGTGTGTGTGTGTGTGTGTGTGTGTGTGTNAGCACTTTTCAGCACGTGGCGATTCAAAGTGCTTTACAGATTAAAAGCAAAAGACATTTAAGAACAAATACAGCACAAATACATTAATTAAAAAGAATGCCTTTTTAATTAATGTATTTGTGCTGTATTTGTTCTTAAATGTCTTTTGCTTTTAATCTGTAAAGCACTTTGAATCGCCACGTGCTGAAAAGTGCTGTATAAATAAAATCGCCTTGCCTTGTAGTGACTAATGTAGAGCATTAAATCGTAAGCATTTAATGTGCATTTTCAATTATACATAAATAGAGTGCCTGAACATTGGTTAATATATTTTAAATGTATTCCTGATGCTATGTGTGGAAACATTCCTGCAGTCGTTATAACATACTGTGGATTTAGTTTTTTTTTTTAAAAGACAGGCTCATTCCTATCATAAAGAATATTCTTATCACTAGCAATAGAAACTTAGAAAGTGAATCATTTGGGACCTTTAAATGTCAGCGCTGGTCAACTCAAACTTGTTGAGATGTGGTTGCAAATTCTCGAGGGATTTTGACATTTTACTCTCACTTAAGAGCCAAAAGCTTTGAATTCATTTTTTAACAGAGACACACACACACACACACACACACACACACACACACACACACACACACACACACACACACACACACACACACACACACACACACACACACACACACACACACCCGCAAGACTGGTGTCCTATCAGTCACCATGCTTTCCACTTCATGTGGCCCCACATACATCACAGGGACCTGACACTGCTTTTTTTTCTGTAGCTCAGGCTGGGAAAGACTCTCCGACAGACCAGTGTCTGTAATTCTTCAGCAGCCATACTGCCATGCTGCTGGACCCTAGAGAACATTTAAGGGAAATGCATGCTGCTGAAAATGCTTAAAAAAGAAAGAAAAAACCAAGCTGTGCGATGCGCGAGGAAGCCTCTAATTGTTTCCCCAGTGTATGTGACCCAGTGACTCTGGAGGAGTTCTTACTTGTTCTTTTACTACGGTTAAACCAGCATTCATTATTGATTTGGTGGCACAGACTGTTACACAACACAGTCTTATGAGTGGGCCTAAGTGTTCTGCCAGTTTGGTGCGCATATGCATTTGAGCCTCACTAATACAGCCTATTTTACCTTTCTTATACATAGTGCCTTATTTTCCTAAAACTCTGAATTAATAACCAAGAATGAATACATTGAATGGGATTAAAGCTTGAACGACAGTGACCCATATATGAATATTAGGTTGATGGAAGACACTCCAACGTAGCCCATTTAGCCAGCTCCATGTCATGTCTTCATACGACAGGCTTTTACTAAGCTCCTTAAGAGCCGGCCCCAGGGGGATCTATGGGAAGCTGGAGGTACTGACTCAGGCCTTATCTTCACTAATTTACCCCATGAATTAGACGGGCCCTTGCTTCTGTGTCCTGCCAGACCCACACAGTACTCACTTATGTTAAGAAAAATGAGGAGAGAAAGGGGCTTAGCGATTACTTCATTGGATAAGAAACCAGGGAGTTGACAGGGGGGGCACACTCTGCCACATCAACTTTACCTGGACAGTAACATTCATCCCAGGGATTTAAAAATGTTGATTCCCTGTCACTTGTCTGTCTAATCTCAGGGTGGATTAAGAGGAATAAAATGCAATTTGATTCATATGGATTAAGGTAGACTTTTTAAAAACAAACAGGCAGGGTTTCACCCTGTCAGCCACAAAGTACAGTAAGGACAGAGTGACTGCTTCTTTGTTCCTCTCAGACTTGCCTTAAATTCTCTTTGACAGATCATTTAAAATTCAAATGAGCTGGCAAGCTGCAGATGTGGACTTTTAGAGGACAAAAAGTGTGGGGCTTCAGAAATCTATACACACATTTGAGAGTTATTTGTTGTGTCATGTCATGTCACATGTGCAAGTAGACTGTGCAAATCATAGTCCAAGTCTGGAAGAAAATGTGACAAAGTAAAATCAATGGGATGCAAACAAACTTGCATGCACTGCTTCACAGGGTTGAATCCTGTACACCAGAGTTAAGAAAGGTCATTCATGTTGTTCGCATGTTCCACATGAATGAAATGAACTGAGCTTCATCCCAAGCTAAGCTTATGTAAGTTTAAAGTACAGATTTGCATCCGAGAGCCGCTCTCCCTATCATCGCAGCCTCCCGCCCCCTCCTCTCCCTGCCTCTCTCCATTTTTTAAAAGTCTCCTTTAACAAAAGGAAAACAATCGAAAATAGCTCCTCACTTCTGCCGCTTAATCGATTAGGTCCATGATTTTTACTCAGCAGGCTCTGTCCGCTGTCTGTGATTATGGAGTGTGAATTTTATGATTAATAAATAAATAATGAATAGATAACTTCTGGCAGACAGTGAGTGGAGACATACTGTGTGACATCTGCTTTGTAGTTAGAATGGTGATGTCCAAAAGAATCCTGTTGACTAAGCAGACATTGGTCTTTGGCAGGGAAACCTGTTAGTCAGGGGAGATGTTGTTGGGCCATGAACAATGTAAAATCTCTGTTAAATATGTTATGTGCAGTAGACTTGAGGCGTATCTTTGTGCCTCAGGCCAAAAACATTTTGTTAGTCAAACAAAGACTCCTTCATCTTTTCACAGATTTAACAAATTTGTCTTATTCATTATTAAAACGAATATGACACAAGTGTATCGAGTGAATGTCGCTGGTTTCAAGTAATACTTTAAGAAAACAATCAGGGTGTTTTTCGGTAATTTCGTGACAAAACGTGTGATTTAATGACGATGAAAGCTCATCCTCCTGAGCAAATATGAAGAGACAAGTTTATCCTCCTTCATTAGTCACCGCATGTCTGTGGATAGCCAGATTCTGAGAGAGCTTAGTTGCCACGCCATGATACAATTTGACTTTGGTTTGAATTACTTTTTTGCTTTAACCCCTGACCGTTTTTAGAGCCATTGTTTAGCCGAATAAGAAAACAGAAGTACTTTAAATCATTTATGATTGAAATGCTTATACTCTTGCACAAAGAGAAAAAAAGATAGATGAAAGGCTCTGTATGTGTTTGTTTTATATGACATTTTTATAGTGTGTCTTAAGACCATCCGCCATCAAGGCCATGCAATTCTGAATCTCGTTTGCTTGGTAATGTAGACTAAACCTATAATCCAAATATTCCACAACTGTCTTTTTTGTGTGTGTATGACATTGCCAAGTAGGGAAAACAGTGCTAGAACAATGACAGGCTTTTCTTGCGGTGTGGAATAGGCAGCGATAGGACAAATTTTCAGAAGGTCAGAAGGTATCCATTTGGGAAATTATTCAACTCCTGCTCCTGCTGCTCCAAGACAACACGTCAAACACAATGAAGAATATTAGAAAACACAAATAACCTTCCTCAGTCTTTCTCATATGTGCAACAACACACCTCTGCATATACACACAGGAGCACACACGCTCACACACACACACACACACACACACACACACACACACACACACACACATACTCACACACACACGCTTGCACACACTTGCACACACACGCTTGCACACACACGCTCCAACACGCACAAGCGCTAGCACACCTTCCATCCAAGCGTCTGGGTGTGAGAGCAATAACGAGAAAATGCGGGGAAAGAAACTCAAGGCTAAGAACAAGAGGCCTCTTGGGCCAATGAGCGGCTCATCCAGGTTAAGTCAGGCCAAGGTGTACTCAGGTGTATTCACTTTAGGTCAGAACGAAGCCTCGCTGACCTTTGCAGCAGACAGGGAGTCTCATGGAGCTTCTCTTGAGCAGTTCTGAGACTCACAGGATAAACAATAGAATCGTGCTGCACTTTGAAATGTTGTGTGTTCGAGTGTTTGGGCTTGTCAGTGATCACGTGTTGACCACCTCTCTGTGGACCTAGGTCCAAAATGTCCAGCTAATGAACACATTCACAAGCAGCTCGGTAATTATACTCCAACAGCTGAAACACAAAGCTCGGTTTTTAGCAGCCATGATTGTCGAAAGCACAAACCCAGATTTTGTTTAAGCAAAGAATATAAGAAATGGATAATAAAACAGCAGGGCACTTGAAGAATAGCACTTTGCTGGACTGGAATACAAACTCTGAAAGGCCAGAGAGAGAATTCACAAGCAGCAGCCACAGCAGCAGCAGCAGCATGCATAATCCTTCACATGATACTGAAGGCACACATACAATATAAATGAACACAATTTGCTTGCAAATCAAATTCCAAAGGGTGCTAATCAAATTTCATAGGGTGGTTCTTAAATGCGTGCAACAACAAAATGTGAATTCAATGAGTCTGAGTTATTATCGCCCATTAAGAGCTTCTTTCATCAATAGTGTGGTGTGCATGCCAAATAAAAAAACTGGATCATTTCCCAAACGCAGGGACACATAGCGTACTTAACCAATCACCATGACAACTCTTGCTTGACATTTTCACTCCCTCTTTAAAACTTTTGGGATTCAACTCTCAGTTAATTATTCTCTCTTCTATTGACTATAACAACACTTCCCATGTGTCAGAAATTCTAAGATTTGAAGAAGGCACATGGGGCCTGCAGGATCACCATAGTGCTTTAAATGTATACTCCGTTTTTACACAAGCAGTGTGTGCATGTGTTTTTTACAGCTGTCATGGGAATTATAAAGATGGCAAAGTAAGGATACTCACTAGAATGTAGCAGACATAACACAACTCAAGATCAATGATGAAGAGGGCCTACATTTATGCTGCAGCCTCAGAAATAATTACAGTGATCAGTAGGCATGGAAATATGCACATAATT